TAATATTTTATTTTACATATAAAAATACAATGCTTCACTACCTCCGTAGTGAGGAAGCAAAAGCGGGACGACCCGTAACGAAGCCACCACTCTTCTTATTTCCAGAATAATTTCTTCTTCATTCTGGTTTTACGAAATTGGCAATAAGAATCATTATAATTATATAATAATACAAGTTGGCAATAAGGTGCGATGTATAATATAGATTTTTAAAGAAATTAAAAATATGTACGAATTGTGGTTTCGTTCCATTTATTTTATGTTGATAAAAATGATACAATCTGAACTATAGAATACATATAAATTAAAGTTTACAGTTTGAGCAACGAGTAATACAATTAAATGAAGAGTAAACATGTTATTTTATTTTAAATAATATAAATAGAAATAGAAATCAGAAAGTCTATAAAGGGTACTTCAGTTCTTAACGGCCAAACTCTTAAGGTGATCTTCTTTAAGGTGGTTACGTTTTTATTAAATAAGGAGGAATTGCTCAAAAACAGTTTAAGATAATTAAATTATAATAAACCATCGTAAAATAGGCAAAATTTGCCAATTTTGTTTCAGAATATAAATTGTTTTTATTATTGAAATTTACAACTGTATTAAATAATAAATACAACTAGTAAGTATGAAATAATAACATGACATGTACAACATGAAGAGAAACTACCCATTGGTAGCACTCCAATTATATTTCTGTATTAGAAGGTCCCGAGGCCATGTTCTTTTCAGACGCCTCGGAGGGTTATCAGGAATAGAAGAGGAAGCAAGGTTGGAAACAAGAGGGTTCGGATGGTTCAGTTTATTATGGAAGGATAGGTATTTCCATTGAGCTAAATCGGAAACATATGGTACATTAAGGTCGTTATGGATGATTTTATTTGTGACAAAGTAGGTAGTATTGAGGATTTTATAAATGGTTTTGGATTGTAGGGATTGGATACGAGAGGAATTTGATGGTTTAGTAGAGCCCCAAAGCTCGATCCCGTAAGTCCAAATAGGCCTTATTATAGTAATATATATGACTCTTTTGTAAATAGTTGAAAGTTAAGGGTTTTTGTCTAGTAAGTACTGCAGTAGTCGAAAACGTCGGGCGGTTTCTAGTCGTTTCAGTCTGGTATGGGGGTTCCAAGTGACTCGTTTTTCTAGGTAGTCCTAGGTATCGGGTTTGTTCAACAGGGATAAGTGGGTAAATTTACAAGAAATTATTATGAGAATATATATCTCCTTAAAATGCAAAATATACAGTAGTGGAGAACTATTTCGATAAAAGAACACCAACAAAGAAAATAAGAGGCTATTTAAACATATATATCTTAAAACGATTGTCTCATTCTAAAAATAAGCGCTGCTTCGTCCACTATAATCGTAAAGAAGAGATTCCAATCGCTCAATGATAGAAAATTACTTTATCCTTCATCATAGTTTAACCCACTAGGCTAGGTTACTTGCTATTCAGGTTTATATGAAAAATATATCAAATATTTTATATATAACCTTTCTTTTGTTGTTTCTGCAATCTTTTCTAATAGGTTTATAGACATTTTGGTCATGCATGATAATTGATTGTGTCCGTGGAATAATAAAATTGATTTTTATGATTATGTAGGTATTTTTATCATTTAACGAGTTTCCCATTTTTTTTTTCATATTTCTTTTAAACAGGATGTCTCAGTTCTTAATGGCTAAACACTGGAGGGGGATTCTAGACAAAATTTCCTACAAGAAAGTTCCTTTGATGCATGGACCGATTCCGAAAGGAGGAGTTAAGCCCGATTTAGAAAATAATAATCCCCACAAAAATATAAATATTTGAAAAAATTCCTAAATTAATCGACGTAATTCAGCGCGTTCATTTATTCATCGATTGAATCACTGATGGGCGAGAGGTTTCATCGGCTTGTGAGTTCGATGAATCCGCTGAATGAAACTTCAATGTTCTTATATTTCAATTTACTTTAGATATATCTATATTTACATTCTGTTTATATGGGCAACTCAGCGCTGAGTTCATAGATGGCATCCGTTTCTACACTGAGCGAAACGACACCATCGATGACTTCAGAGCTGAATTTAAGAACGTGCTCTGTTCATATCTGTTTGAAATAAAACAATTTAGTAGGTGGGTATTTCTTTAAACATTTTTTAATTTTTTAAAATTTTAGTAACCTGTAACGAGTTTTAACCTTCCGTTGGAATCAGGTCGGCCCTTAACTGATTATAAATCGCTGTCCCTAGCTACTGAATTTAATTGATTGATGGAATCCGTAGATGGAATGAGGTAAGTTTAATTGCATACTCTTTTTTTTTATTAAGTCATGTTAGCTCATAAAATTATAATTTTTGTAAACATTATGGTTAGGGTTGTTTCCATTTAGTCTTACCATGTTCATTCAAGTTTAGCTACACAAATATTTTTGTTTGGATATTGTTAAAAATTGGTTTTACGATCTATTTCTTGGTAAATTTATATTTTTGGATCCGGGCCCTAATGATAAGAAGTCACCTCGAACTTACGACCGATCCTAATGCGAAGGTAGGTGGAAACATCCCTGGGCATACCCTTTCTTCTTGTCTCTTCAGTAATTATTTGCGCTCATCAAGAAGAGGATTCTCTCGTTTCTTGGTGGCAGCCATCCTCACCTTCTTTTCCTTGCACCATCTTCCTACCAGGCTGGGTGCATCGTTTAGCTTCTGTCTCTAATACAGCTTTGATAGATGCCTCATGGGCGTAGCATCATACTATGGCAAACCAGTTGCTTTGAGTTTATGCTTCTGGTGCAGCAGAAGTACACTCGCCCACCACGCGCTACAAAAGGCGGAGAATGTGTTGAATACGAGCTGAGGGCCCAAAACTTGCCTTCCTCGCACTCCCTTACAAGTCCATGCTTGAAAGAGAGAAACATACCGAACTGCTGCAGAATAGGTGAGTTGAAATTGAAGACAACGATAGAGCTACTACTTTGTAAGGGAGAAGAAATGAGGAACCTCAACTACATGTGATTGTAAAGACCAATAACAAAATGAAGAAGAGATATTTTATTTTATTTTTTCTAATCTACACTTACATTTATTAGCTTATGAATTCCACTACTTTTCATTGTTAATTCATTTTCATTTCTTATGTTACCTTATTTTGATTATGTTTATTTCATTAGTCTCTATTTTGTTGCCATTACTATTTATATCTTAGTTCTTGTTACTGTTGTTATTCTACCTACTTTATTTTACTTTTATGTTCACTCTATCTACTTTATTTTACTTTAAGTTTATTCTTACTACATTTTTTAGTCTATACCTTTCAACTTTTTTATTTTAATTCTTTATTATTCAATGTTTATAGTTTCTCATACCTATTGTTATCTGTTTTTTTCTTAGCCCTGATGAATGCCTGAACTTTGAGTCGAAACGTCCGCGAAAATAAAAATAAATATAATTATTTAATTTTAATATTTTTTTTTTTTACTGATCACCCCAACCATTCTTCTCTTCAATTATTCACTACAGCCAACCATAAATCCACAATGAAGAAGACTTATGATACGTTTATTTACTACCTTAAAGAAATTGGAGGTATGAAAGTAGCACTTTCATTAACGGTTCAAGAAGTTACTCAATGCCTAAAATCTGTGTTCTTACTTATTCAGATATTTTTTATCTCAAATAATAACATATTGTGTCGGTTTAAAACTTGGCGCCCTCGGGCAATAACATCATAAACTCAACTTTCAAAAAATATTAATTATTTTTAAGATGAAGTATATTACGTTGTATTTCTATGATTCATGTGCTCAAATTATTTAATAACAAATATAAATCAATTTATCTCATCTTACTTTTCATAATCTCTAAGATGATTTTAGCCTTAACGTTCATCGGAATTTTTCGTTCTAGATGTACAAGAAGATAAAACGTAAAGTTCAGTTCCTCATTAGCACTAAAAATATAGCAAAAAATTTAAACAATAATTTCAAAACTTGTCGGCTATTGGCGGAAGTGCAAAGGAATAACATGCTAAAATAGGCTACTGACCGATTTGGAAGGGTGTGAGTGGCCTCTGGTAATATTTCCCTCCGGGCCTTCACAGCCCACGCGACGGCCCCACCTGATAGCAGTTAGGGTAGTCACTCATTCAAGTGATGAATATGGTCACATATACCGCATTAGATAAGATTCAAGAATAAGCAACATAAATTACATTACATTGTATTGCAAAAAATATACTTGTTCATTTAACAATTTTCTTTTGTTGTTAAATATTGTTTTTGTTAAAATTGTTATAAATGTTTATCATTATTTGGAAGATCGTTTGGTTTGATATGATTTATTGTTGTGACACAATTTTTTTCTGGTCTTCGTTCGTACCGGGAATAAATTAGCCTCAATTTTATATCTATTAAATTTTTTTCATTTCTGAAAGGGGGTACTTGAAATTAATATCACTATATTTTATATTATGTAATGCAATATTAGAAACAAATTTAGTTTAACACCCTTCTTAACACTCGATTATTTTCCAAGAAAATTAAGTAGTTAAACAATAGAAAAAATAAAGCACTCGAGGGGAGAGCTGAGTTGTTTTTGTACCAATCAATTATGAATGGTGCTCGAACAGTGGCAGTATTTGAGGAAAATAATCCATACTCGTTAATCTGAGTAGTTTTCACTCATCTCTACTGTCTTATAGATACTATTTCTGAGTGGTATTGAATACATGGTTCAAGTACTTGAATGAATATTTTGTCGGATTCATGGTATTGCTACATGTCTAAGAGCTGGAAGATATGTAAATAGCCTACAGTATTTTTCAGCCATTGTGTACGCATGCGATTCATTCTGTACGCATGACATAATAGTATAAATATATACGTATATATATATATATATATATATATATATATATATATATATATATATATATATATATATATATACGTATGAATTAACGATTTTATTCAAATAATCCTCTCGCAAAGATTTAAGCCTAATATTCTCACCTGTTGAAGTTGCTGTAGCTGTTGTATCCTACGCTGAATATCCCCTTGCCTGAATTGGATTCTCTGTTGCTCCAGCTGTTCAGGGAAAAGCTCCGTCCTGAAGGGCTCTTGCTGGCCCAGGACGATCTCCAGAAGAAGGAGGAGTACAGCGACTCTCGCCATCCTATCGTTGACTGACTGTTCCTCCGCGGTGGCTACCTCCCCTCTACCACTCCGGCTACCGGACCTTCTTGAAGGATCCCAGATTTAGCGGTTGAGTTCCAGTCTGTCTTAGTTTCAGGGACTATTTTAAGTTATGCTTCTTCTTTTTCATCCTTATGTGTTACATCATGTCGTGAACTTAGCGAAGCGTGATATGAGTCGAAGAAATAAGATCTCATTAACAAGCCACGTAAAGCAAATTTACTGAATCCTCTCACGGAGGGGTACTCAATTGGGTGTGCAGCATATACAATCATATACAAAAAGTAAAAACTAAATAAACAAATTCCATATTATTCCGTATTTAAACTTTAGAGTTTTCTGAGTTCAATATGTATCTATATATTGTTTTCATTGATCTCTAATATGTTTAGCTCATTTTCTTAAACAACTGAACCGTTATCAAAAATCATGTAGAGGTAAGTGGAGGCATTAATGATTTCATGTTTTTTTTTTTAAATCGGCTTGTTGCAAAGCCATTTTGATAATGGAGGAGAAGGCGATTTATTATTGATTAGAAATGACGGATAATGATAGCGTGTTAAGTATAATTTTAATAGATAATCAATAAATTAAAACGTTGATTTGAATTTTTATAGAAGTTACATGAATTGACATTTCGTTCCAAATATGTAGGCGAAGGATAACGAAAGATTTCTGATAGAAGTCTTGAGATAGATGTCACTGAGTCATACTCCAGGGCATGGAACACGTGGGCTCACAAGTTTCTTCAGAAACTGCGGTTCGCATAATAAAAGCCCAACGTTTAGTTTTGATACTGATTGATTTCCGGATAATCTATATCTTATTTATTATTTACCTACAAAAATATTTAAAAGTTTAATGTTTTATTAAAATAATGTTGTTCGATCTATAAATAGTTGAAACTTTGTTAGTCCTCTCTCACACACACTTGTGTATATATGTGGGTCTATTTATTCCTTCCAATAGAAAAGTTTTTATACTTGATTGTGGGAGTCATGCAGGAAATGAATTGACCTCTTTCATCGATAATGTGTGAAGTAAATTAAAAAAGGTAAAACTATACATGTAACTTAAGTTGCAATGACTGTTATCAGGACAAAAATATACACATACATTGTTTCTGATTAATGCTACGTTCATAGTTTGAAATATCTAACGAAATATTTAAACTTTTATACTGATAGCTGCTATTTCTTGAATATTTTTCCAAGGGATTAAATAAAAATATATATACTGATACATTTGCCTAATGGTCAGAATAAATTAATCAAATAAGTCTTCGATTACGATTTTAATTTACTCGTAAGTACCATTGAACCAATCTTATTTTATTAAATTTTGTGACTTGCCCTATTTCTTGGGAAAATAAAATATTGCTGAAGTGGGGAACGAAGATTCTCTGAAACATTCAATAGATTATATATATATGTTAATATGCGACTCTTATTTGTCTATGAAATTTATTAGCCTTTGAGAAAGAAGACGATAGAAGAAATTCGTTATTTTATTAATGGTAGGTGATTTATTTTCAAAAAGGCCATGACATTCTCGGCGAACCATACAGTTTTATAGTCGCAATATCCGTGTCATCCGAACATCCGTGTGGTCATAGTCATTTCAATTTTTTTTTTAAATATTAGTTATCCCTCTAAATCTTTTTTATTTATTTAAATTCAGAAAAAAGGCAAAATATATCACGCCTGGATTCTACATATTCATTCTTTCCACACACTTCCATTAGAAATGTAATGAAATTATGTTTTATTAATTGTTTTTTAATCTCGACTAATTTTTCATTGAAATTTTTGTTATTTTCTAGCAATAATTGTTTTGTATTATATATCTAATACATTATAATGATTCCAAAGGAGTACTAAAAACTACCTAGCCTTTTTTTCATTCGAGAGTGGACTGTCTAGATTTGTATTATTTTCGGTGTTGAATGGGGTATTTGAGGATCATTAAGGGAAATATAAATATATACGGCTTTTTCATGGATGGATTACACTGGAGCAACCGCCTGCTAGGATCCCCGATAGTAAGAGAATCTTAAGCCCTGGGGCCAGACCCAAAATAGGGTACTCCTTTTAAGAGGTTTGAGAGTAAATAAAATAAGAGTGTGCTATTCTTACTAAAGTAAGCTTTGCCTATGTTCCCAAAGTCACTTTCAAATACTTAAGTTAATTTAAATAGTCTGACGGAGCTTGATGTTAAAAAAAACTCCAAGCTGCTCATGAACTTTTTTTTTTTTCAGTCCTCCCCCACCTCGCCACTTTTGGCATAGGGAGGGTTGTTCTTGAGGTAAAATGAAACCTATTCCGTATTAAATCGTCAGTCTAATGAAAGTTGGTTATTTTTCAAGTATTTCAAGAGAAAATGTATCTCTGTATTTCAGTTAATAAAGAAGGAAAAACAAGAAAAAAAACATATTTTGTGGATGTCAATGGATTGACAAATTACTGTAAAAACTATATTCAATCTTTATCATTCCTTATTTCCTTAAAGTTCATTGATTTGAGAACATCCATAAGTGAAGAAAATTTAAATTTAAACACCATTATGACTCTTAAATTTGACTGATGACAATTAAAGTTTCAGAGTCGGCCAAGTTTTAATTATAAGTCTTTTTGGAATTCCTTAAGCCTTTATGCCTGATTTTTTTTGTAGTTTGCCAAAAAATTGAAATATACGACTTTTGAGATCTCTATAAACAAAATAATTATTCATATATGAGAATTGAATTGAGCAAATGTATTTTATCCCTAAATATGTAAGGTTATTTACTAAGAACAAACCGAATTCAATTACAATTGTTTATTTATTATAAATAATGTCCAAGTGACAGATTGTTGTAATACTCAATAAATCAATCAATAAAAAAAATAAAATTAAATCAATGCAAATTTATTGGCAAATGTAAAAAAATACAGTCATTCCAGATATATAAAGCCAACTTCTAAAAAGGAAATTAACTTAATAAACAATTGTAAATTAACTTGTACCTCTAGAGCAACCCTCTCTATGCCAGAAGTAGCGAGGTAGGAGGTTATTGAAAAAAAATAACGTTCATCAGCAGCTTGAAGTTTTTTTTAACATCATGCTCCGTCGGTCTATTTAAATTAACTTAAATATTTGGAAGTGGCTTGGAGAAGATAGACGAAGCTTACTTTTCGTAGGGTGGAGGTTCAGAGTAAAGAAAGGGGATTCTTCGATCATTTTTTGCTTAGAAGTACCTGGTTGAGGCTGAGGACCTGGTTCTGAAGTGTTCACTTTGGTTATTCGAGATGTTTCTCGAAGGCAGCGACGGGTTCTTTGGTTGGCTGGTGAGCTATGAGGTGTACTAACGCCGTCTGACCGAGTCCTCATGGGCACTTTACCGGACATCACTTGGTGATAATACCGCTTAGTCATAAGAGAAGAAGAAGAAAGAAAAATATATACATCAAACAGTAAATATCAACTGCTCTGGTGTGCACTTGAACGGTATTCAGTTAATTATCAGAGAGATTGCGCTGAAACATAGGCAAAAACAGAGAGACGAGTTGAGAACACAACCTTCCCATCAGATGATCCACTGCCTTCTTGATTTAATTTAAGATTTTTGATAAGAATGAATAAATAAAGAAACGAATAATTTAATAGAGACCACTAGCGGATCCAGGATTTAATTTTGGGGAGGGGCTTCAGCCCGACAGATTTTTTTCTCATTTACATATAACGATAATTAATTTGAAAAAAAAGAACTGCCTATATGAAATGGTGTTTGAGTGGTTCTTGAAGTCCTATTAAATGTAATTAAACGAACAAGAATACTTTAAGAGGTAGTTTTTAATTATTTTTTCTGTTAAACATGATTATATTTTACCATTTTGGGGGGGCTTCAGCCCAAAAGCTCCCCCCTCCCCCGTAGATCCGTCCGTGATAGAGACTTTATTCATAGATTTAATGATCATGTATTTGAATTTGAATTTAAAATAGTATGAAGAGCTCAAACATAAGTGAAGAAAAATAATTTACATTTTAACAATTCTATATGAAATACTTGCTTCGGTCTTAGCAGTCGCCTTTTCGGAGACCTCTGGAGACTATGCCTTATTTCACATCCTTTGACTATCTTCCTCTCTGATTATTATTTTATTTTTAGATCAATTTATTCTTATTATAGAATTATTCTTCCTTTGGCAGCATCTTTTTCACCTTTCTATCAATTAATTTTGGCTCATCGCTCCTGTGGGTTTTTTTGTAAATTTTTATATATATAAATATATATGGCTGTATATAAAAATATATCCTTTTTAACATCTTTGTTTATATGCTGAATAGAATTATTTTTCTTGCTGGACGTTCTACTTAATCTCCAGCAATACTAACCTTTTCTATTCGCTTATGATAATCATCCACGATTCGGACCCTGATAGGCCGTTGCTTTCCAAAAGGAATGGAAAACCCCTTTTTTTGTTGTTCAGAAACGCACTTATTAGTGTTTTAAAAAAAAAGGATATAAAAAAAATTGATAATTAAAAATAGAAGTTTTTCCTAGGTTGAAAACATATTTTTGGAAATAAGAGTAATGACTTATATAGATGTATAATTAACCGCTAAAAGTTGAAGGTATAAAAGATATATCTAACTTATAAAGTAGTAAGAGATAATAATAAGCAACTAATAATTTATCTTTTATAATACTAAACGGAAAGAAAATGGTGATATGGGGACTTATTTGAATATTCATAAAACTGAGTAAAAAATTTTAATTCAAGTTGATACACCAAAAATAAATAGTGCACTAGAGTATTGGATCTAATAATAATTGTCTCTGTTCTTAAAAGTACTCTTGAACTGATCTTCTTAAAGGTTATTAATTTATTTAAAATTAATTTCTACTTCAAGTAGAATACTAAGGGATAGTTGTGTGATCCCATATTTTTGCACATATCACTTAGTATGTACACTTTGATAGAAAGGTATTTAACTAA